CTCTTTTAGAAACAATTGGGAAAAAAACACTTGGATGCTCGGAATCATGTGATGTTCATGGGACACTTTCCCTTTTCCAACTTGTCAAGTCCACCTGGAAAGAAAAAGGTGATGCCCTGTAAAGGACCCCTAGGAGCGCTGGTTTGTCCAACCAACACTGACCCAGGGACGCCCTCAGGCAGCAAACAGAAGGACTTCGGGAAGCTTTTTTTCATATTGTATTTACATAAGACTATACACATTTTGCCCCTCATTTTAATTTTAGGGAATAAATATCAGGCTTATCTTCTTACAGCGCCAGTGGTTTGTTGGCGGGCAAGAGGTGCAGGCGGGAGAGCTCAGGAGCGAGCACCAGGGCAGATCAAGAAACCCCGAGCCGCGGTGTGAGTGGGAGAAGGCAGTGTTTCTAGTTTGGCTTTAGGCTGCATTATACACAGCCCGGGAGGTTTAGCTTCAAACGGACTCATATCACCTTTGTCTTTCTGCAGATGGGCTGGCTCTAAGTTGTGCACACACACACGAAGTAACACACACATAGGAAGAAATAAAGCAATTACAGAGAGCAAGAAGGTTGGCGGGCCGTGCTGCTGGCCAGATCCTCAACAGTGCTACGCCTTCACCGTGCGGCTTGATCAAAAGGACAGTTTATGCAGTGAGTGGTGTCCCATGGGCTACAGAACTGGGGAGAAAAAGGAGTAATTTCCGAGAGCCTGTGAATGCATGTGGCCACAAGCACAGTCATTTTTATCTTCATCTGGTTGCCATAAAAAATAGAATGACACCATATTTGTGCCTCTAGGTGCTGTTGAAATGAAATAGAAATCCTTTTCAAACCTCCTTTAAAAACACTCCTCAAATTATCCATAGCATTACTTGGTCATTGTATCCAATCTCAATTAACAGATACTAAAAGTACAACTACCATACAGTGAAAATCTGGTCAAGTTTATGCCATTAAAATTCCTCAGCCCCTAAAAGCTGGGAATCGCTTGTTTGGTCCACTTGTGTTGGTACCAGTGAGAATGCTTTACTCACACCAGCAAATGAGGACTCACTGAACTTAACCAGCAAGCAGAGACCTGCATACATGGTGAACTGCTTCGCAAAGGGTTTGATGAGTTATGCTCCATGCAGACCAGCTCAGGGGGAGAAAAAGTAGACTCACAAAAAACTCCTGCAGATTCTCAAGCCCAACAATTTTAAACAGGAGTGGCTTTTACAAACAGTAATTAAAGCCTCTTTATGAAGCCTATTTGTCCAAGCAGAACACCCACAGTTGTTCAACAGGAAGGATTCAGGGCAGCCATTCATTTGTTCTGTGCCTTCCCTGCATGCACTGTCTTGTAAGATAGCTAAGGGTTGGTGATATAGACTGAATTTTTGTTTCCCCCTCTCTCCAAGTTCTTATGTTAAACCCTAACACCCAATGTTATAACGTTTAGGAGGTTCAGCCTTTGGGATGTGTTTAGGACATAAGGGTTTGAGGGTGGAGCCCTTATGAGTGGAATTAGTGCCGTTAAACAGGGACCCCAGACAGCTCCCTTACCCCTTCTGCCCTGTGGGGACACAGCACGAAGATGGCCATCTGTGAACTGGGATGGGTGTCTTCATGGGACACCAAATCTGCTGATGCTTTGATATTGGACCTCCCAGCCTCACAAACTGCGAGAAATAAATGTTTGTTGTTTAAGCTACACAGTCCATGTATTTCATCACAGCAGCCTGAACGGACTATGACAATTGGGCTCTGGCCTCAAGGAGTTTCCATCTGGCAGGAAAATGGAGAATGCAAATGATGTATACATATACTCAAATACAAATGCTGCGTGTCCCACCTATGCGCAGGATCAGCACGTACCCAAGTAAGAGAAGTAAGAGAAGCACGAATTATGTGCCCCAGTAAACCAGAAGATGGAGAGAGATCTGTAGCTGCTGGAGATCAGGGAAGACTGCCTGCAGAAGGCAACATCGGACCTGCTCTTTATGAAGAAGAAGACTTGTTGCCACAAGGGGAGCAGGAGTCAGATCGTAGGCACAGTGTAACTTGGGGACTTGGAATCTGTACGCACTTCACAGAATATTGACTTGTTGGAGCCAAAAGACAGGTAAAATGCTAATAGTCTCTTTGCTTTTCCTGAGTCACTGTGGGCCATGTGCACCCAAGAAGTAACACGGGAGCAAAGGCTAGATCAACCTGGGCCCCTGGCATTCCCAGCTGGTGGCTTCAGGGAAAGTCCCAGGAAGCGCATCAGCCCAGATGTCCCTGGCTTTTCCCATGTGCATAATGCAAGCCCCCCCAGCCCCTTGAGAAATACACATGTATGGTCTCCCTCTATCACACACACACACACCCCTGCTTTGATTTCTCTATCACACACACACACACACCCCTGCTTTGATTTCTCTATCACACATACACACCCCTGCTTTGATCTATCACACACACACACCCCTGCTTTGATCTCTCTCTCTATCACACATACACACCTGCTTTGATCTATCACACAAACACTCCTGCTTTGATCTATCACACACACACACCCCTGCTTTGATCTCTCTCTCTATCACACATACACACCTGCTTTGAAGAATCACCAGGGAGTCTTCACATAGGCTCACAATAGTTCTTGCTCTCTCTCTGTGCTGCCACTGCCAGCCAGTGACCACAGAGCTTACGCTAACCCTGGAGTCAAGGGAGCAGTCGCTCCATTTTCCCTGTGCCACCAGCCTGCATGGACCAGGTCAGGCCACCTGTCCTTCTCCAAAGCCCTGCTGTGCTCCACACATATGCAGGGGTTGGGGTGGGGAGACATCCTCTTTTCGTCACATGTTGTCATGGCTCTTGCACAGCCAAACCAGGGGTGACCCTCATGGCTTCATTCCCCCGTGGCATCTCTCTCCATGGCCCTCAGACACTGTCCATGGGGGCAAATCACTACCACCAACAGAGACCCACGCCAGCCCACTCCTGCTTCCTCCATACAAAGCCTTCCACCCATCAGCCAAATACACTCCAATGGCCTCCTGGGAGTAGTTTGTTAGAGGGTAAATTATGAGGAAATAATTCAGGGCCCGAGACTTGAAGGAAAGGAGTGGCAGACACCTCACCTCACCTTCTCAGTCCAAGTCAGCCAAGCCTTGGCCCAGAGCAACTCTCAAGCAGTAGGCATGGGGAGGTGGCTGAGCACTGACACTTGTTTACCTAGATGTCTTTAGTTGATGCTAACATGCACTTAAAGCCAAGAACCAAGTCTGGGTGCCCCCTACTATCAACATTTTATATCATCCCAAGCCATCTGGGAAAGGAAAAAAATATCATCAATACCAAGGATCGTTTTTAAACCAATAGGCCATTTTACTAAGCTGTGAAATGCATGCTCGAGGCCCAGAAGAGTTGGGGGCCAAATAACTCCCATCTTCAGGTGTTTTTGAACCAGGCGCAGAGAGTGAGGCACGTGCAGTGACCCTGGGGCACGGGCCTTGGTTTCTGCCTTGCTTTCCCCATAGCTTTGTCCACAGCTGGGAAATTGACAAAGCAGACTCTTTTCAACAGACTTCAGCTGGGCAAACCATGTTATGACCAGCATGATAAAGACTGAACTAAATGAAGAACCAGCAGACTATTAGAGCTTTAGTGTATCTTCCGGGCAAAATTCCTTCTTCCCACTGTTCATACTCTAACCAAGTGACCCATCAGTCTCCCACTGCCCACTCTGCCGTTATTCCCGCACAGCCTCTGCAGACGCACTGGCCAATTTCCCCAAAGCACGCACCCCTCTCCAGAAGGGCAGATGAGAGCTTCTTTGACGTGCTCCATGCGGGACTTCCTTAAATCATACATTTCAGACTCCTAGTTCCCTTCAAAATAGAAGAGGGGAAAAAAATAACCCCATCCAGCTCTTTTGAATGCTTACATTTTAAAAATATCTTACAAGAAATCCTATTTTAAAATAGCACTCAGACATCAATATTTTTAAAATCTTATAGTCTCGTTATTGAAATTGTTACAAAGATACCAGCAAAGCATAACCTTGCTCCAAGTGGCTCCAAAAACCATTAAAAGTGGGTCTTGTTCTTTTAACCTTCCTGTAAGCATATTTCGATAACTGCTTAAATCTATGCTAATATCATAATGGCTCTGCGCTGCCAGCTAATGTGATGGACTATGAAGTACGAAGAACTGAGTAATTTCCAGATTATGGGACTCAAATCTATTCTTAATGTGCACCTAAATGTGTATTTACGTATTACCTCACAATAAATCACAGAAATTACCCAGAAGATTTTAAGCACATATTTGAAAACTCCTAATAGCTCCAGAAACCTCAATAAATCTCATTTGTATGAGTTAATACATAATGTTTCATTTGACTTACACAAGAAAAATGCATTTTAAATGCTTGTGAGCCAAAAAAAAAAAATACATCTATGCATGTCACCTTGGCATTCAATTTTCCAAAAGGTAAGAAGGAAAAAATAATGATCTGCCATAATACTGAAAAATCTATTCATTTAATTCTACTTCTTATAAATGAGATATTTTATTTTTTTAAAAAAGGAGACTGCACTTTGAGAAAATTTGAGTTAATTATCCCGATAATTTAAATTAAATTACTAGCCATTTGAAAAATTTAGACTATTAGATCCAACCTGAGATAGAACGGTTTGAATTACTTACCTCATATAATCACACCAATTGTCAGTCTCCATTCCAGGATTGTTTCAGCTCTTAGCATAACCAGTTGTGGTTATAACATGTTGGTGTTTTCTTAACTCTCTATCCAAAAAAGTCTAGATGGCCTTTTCTGCCATGGAAAGTGCAAACTAATTCTGCTGACTGAAAATTGGAAATTGCCCTGTAATGAATTACAACTAATTAGTTGCAAATGAGGTTTTCCCGTGGCTTGGGCTTCTCTGCACACTTTCTGGGCTTGCTCCTCCCCAGCCCAGGATGCTGGTAAGGCAGCCTGTCCATGCCAGGCCCTGCCAGCAGACGATCCTCAGGCTCCAGCGTCCACCCTTCCCACCGGCCCTGTGCCCTGGACTCCCCCACAGCCAGCACCCACTGGCCTTCTGCCTGATTCTACCAGGAGAGGCGCTAAAAGGACATGAAGGCGGGAGAAAGGGAAGCTGGGGTGTCTGTAATCTTGGGCTCACTTTAGATCTCGAGTTCGGCCACAGCTCCTGCCCCGAGGTCCTCTCCTCCAGCTTCTCCTCCTTCTGGGTTCCAGCAACTGCCCCTCAAGCCACGGGGAGGTAAGGACAGCCCCAGGGACCCCGGTACCACCCCTTGGGGTTTTCTCTTAACCCTGCTCACACCTCATAAACAGCCCCCTCCACTGTGTTTTCTAAGTTACTTTGTACATGTCTCAGCAGCAAAACCAAACTGGGTCTTCAGCTTTATCCCTGTTTCTTGCAAGGAAAGAGCCTTTATGTGATTGGACACATTTTGGTTTTTCCTCGTTGAGAATTTTAACCCTCTTTTGTGTTATGTCTACAATAATTTGTGAACTTATTTTTGCCTGCTTTTGCATTTCAGGTCAGATTTTTTATACTGCACTTATTTGTCAACGTAAAGATTCTCCCATAGTAAAAAGTAACTATTTACTTATGTAATTTTATGTATCTATATAATTATAATTTTTAGGTGTCCGTTTGACTGGGCCATGGTGTCCGATTAAATAGTTTCTGGGTGGGTCTTTGTGGGTGTTTCTGGGAGAAATTAGCATTTGAATGGGTGGACTGAGTAAAGCCCCTGGTCCTCCCCAGTGCTGGTGGGCACCATTCAATGCCCTGAGGGACTATTTATATGTGATCGCACTTGGAAATGAGGTCTCTGCAGAGGCGATGAGGTAAGATGAGGTCATACTGCACTAGGGTGGACCCTGATCCAGTGGCTGGCGTCCGAATGAGAAGAGGACGCGCACACGCTGAGGAGTCAGCCACATGGAGCGGGAGGCAGAGACTGGAGGGGCGCAGCTGCCAGCCCTGGAATGCCAGGACTGCCGGCCCCCAGAGGGGCTAGGATGGCAGGGAGGACTCTGCCCCGGCGCCCTCACAGGAGCGTGAGGCCCCTTGGCTTTGGACGTCCAGGAGCCAGAACTGTGAGAGAATAAATTTATTTTAAGAAATTTGTTTTAAGCCACCTGTTTGTAGTACGTAGCTTTGGAAGCCCTAGGAACCCAGCAGGGTTGGGGTGAGTGCTCCCCCACCACCCACACGCCTTCTGGGGCCTCCCAGGACACGGCATCTCATTCTGCCATGCTGTCGACACTCCCGCCACTTCAGCGTGCGTCCCACATCAGTAACGTGCATTTGGGCTGTTGTGTCTGCTCCCCAAGAACCTCTCCCTGCCTGCACACCCCCAGCAGCATTTCTTCCTTCATGCTTCGCCCCTCATGCCGCCCTTCTCTCTAACCAAGGCCTCTTCCCCACTTCCAGGGAGAAGACAAGCGGGGTGACATGAGTCCCATAAAAGGAAACCTGATGCCCAGGTGGTGCCCAGACAGCAATTCATGTCAAATGTCACCACCCAGGCCACATGTGCCTCTGGCTACCACCCTCCTAAGATGCTGGCCCAGCAAAGACAGTGACACTTTAAGATGGTTTCCATTTCCCTCCTGAATTGTCACCTTTCCCCACTGAGGCAGGGACACGGTTCTGTGGTTCATTGCTGTGGCACGGGAATACGCCAGGGCAGAAAGCAACCAGCCTGAAACTTCCTGGCTTCCGTTTTCCAAATCCTGAGCCCACCAAGCTGGTGGGAAGAAGCAGGGTAACATGGTGAGGGGCTTCTCGGTGAAGAAGAGATGGGGAGAACAGCAGGGCTCTGGTGCCCCCCACAGAGACAGCCGGTTCCAGGGAGGAGGCCCGAGGCTCTGGTCAGAGGCATGGAGGGTCCCAGCCCGCCCACAGCCCCAGGCCCCACGGCCTAACGGCCTGGTCAGCGGAGGGACAGACAGCAGTGAGACCCTTTCCCTTTCCTGGGAATGGAGTGAATCCCAAAATGACTAAGATGGGACTCCCCCAGCCTGGTGGCAGGAGAACTTAGATCTAATAATTTGTTTTTAATAAAATAATTACTTGTATTTCTTATACACCTGAGTTACACATCAGGAAGTCTCCCTTTTGAGTTAAGTGATGATTGAGATGGTTGAAAGACAAGTACATTTACAGTTAAAATGAATGGAAGCCAACATTTCTTCTACATTACACACAACAGAAATATGGTCATATGCTTAATAGAAGACATCTTCTAGCATATCCCAAGGAGCTCTTTCCGTAACAGCCCAAAGCTGGAACTTTCCCAATACCCACTGGCAGAAGAATGGATAAAGAAACTGTGGCACCTGCATACGATGAAAGAGTGCCCGGCAATGAGAACGAGCAGCTCACAGCTACACGCAGTGTGGATAAGCCTCACAAGTGATTCTACTACAAAAGCAGGCAAATGCATCCACTATTAGAAATTAGGGGCATGGCTGCCTTGGGGAGAGAGAGTGATTACGAGGGATGTAAAGGGGCTTCCAGGGAGCTGATTACAGTTTATGAGAATTCTCTCAGCTGAGCTTCTTATGCTTTGGGCACATTTCGGCATGCCAGTTATATTCTTCAATATTTAAAAAATTTAAGGGAAGGAGAGAGTTTCAAAGAGGGCAAAGATAGAGACAAAGACAGAAATACACTGGGACAGATGGAGACAGAGAAGGACCGGGCAGGGAATAGAACTAACAGACATCCTACCCTCCCCAAAAGCATGTGACATGTGGCCATCATTAGGATACTAAGTACATTGGCTTGGGATGGGGTGGGGGTGGGGTAATACATAAGATGTTTCAAACTACTAGGTCTGAGTTGACATTCTATTTGTAGGAAAATGTTGGCACTAATAAGCAACCATGAATGTTGCTCCTGCCTTCCCTCCCCTATCACCTGCTGACTATGAACAATGGTGCTAAAAGTTTGAATTTTATAATCAGCAGAGCTGTGCAAACTCTCATAAATACCTGGTGCAGGAGAAAAGGACTTCTATAGTCAGAGACAAACATTTGCATTGGTTTGTTCCTGACTGTGGTAAAATATACAGCTTGCAATGTTTCATGCAGAAATAATGCCACTCATCCATAAGTCATAGCAATTTAATGCCTATTACAAAGAGTTACATAATTGTTTTCAAAAACTGTCATATTGCTGGCATCATGGAAAGGCACATAAAACTGTGCTCAGGATATTTCCGTCTTGGAAAGCTGGGCTAGCACTGCCCTGACTCTTGCTCCTGATTAACTAATGGGAGTCCCAACCAACCTTGTGTGCAGCCCAAACGATCTTCAGGCTTAACAAAGACTCTCAATTATGGGTTTTACCCATACCTCAAGAAATGTTATTTTATCTGGGGACCTCCAAGCCCCTGGAGGATAGGGCATGAACTATTAATTGCTGGCATCAATATACACCTAAAGAGTATATATTTGGACACGACCCTCGTTACTTCTCAAGCACTTTTCCACTTGATTTATTCTTCTCCCTTATATAAATGCATGTTCATAATCTGCATTACAGGTCCTCTAATGATGCCATGTCAGATCCAAATGTCACCTCATTATTTCTGACACTCACAGAACCCACAACAGTCAAAGCCAATTATAGACTACAGATCTCCCAGAAGGCCTTGCCTGATACAACAGCTAATAAGCTTCAGCATCATTATGCTTGGAGATGGCCCCGTATAACTGAAATCTGTGCATATCTGTCCTGGGCAGTGGGCCCTTCCATTCACAGGGGTGAAGAGATCCAGTGTGGTATAGCTGCCTGCTGGAAACCCCTCTGAATGCCCAGCAAAAAGATTCATTTTTTTTTAACAGCTTTGTGACTGAAATGCTGTGTTTTAGTCCAACAGACACAAAGAATCGGTTTCAAATAGTGGCTCACTGACTGAGTCAAAGTGGCTGAGCCGGAGCCATGTTTATAGATGGTGGACAGCTGGCCAGAGGAGAAACTTGCCTGACATTTGCAAGGTCCAGGTGAAGCAGCAGTCCTTACTTTCAGAAGGCTGTTATGATAAGCAGGCACCGAAGTGCTGGGGGCTCCAGTCTGTCCTTGTTCTCCCCTCAAAGTACATCCAGCTCTCTTCCCAAATGCCAACCTGCTGGTCCACGGCACACCCAGGCCCACCTTGGACCGAGGAGGAGATGTCCGCAGACTTCTCCCCCAGCCCCTTGGTGCTCCCCGTCAGCAGTGGGACCTGTGTGGTGGCTTTGCAGTTTGCCTGCAAGCGCTGACCTCCCCACCGGGGTTTGTATTTCTGGAGGGCGAGTTCAGATTTTCTGTGACATTCCAACTCTCTTTTCTAAATTCTCCTTCCACCTTGAAGGACTGGCCTGGTCCTTAAAAGTTCTGGAAGGAGCCCAGGTCAGTGGAGTCCATGGAGGCAACCAGTGGGAATTCATCCCTTTAACAAATATTTGTTGAGACTTTTCCATGGGTCAAGTACTCAAGATACAGCCAGCCCGTCCTCCCAAGCCTAACACCTACTAAAAGGATATGAACTCTCATTTACTGAGAACTTGTAATGTCACAGGCACTGGGCTAAGGGCTTTATGTAAAGGATTTCATTTATTTCTCACAAAAACAATTTTATAATGTAGGTACTATTTACTTTCATTTACAGACAAGGAAACTGAGGCATAATGAGGTGTAGACACCACCAACTGCAGATGCGCAGTCTGACCCACCTCACTGTTCAGTCTCCTTGAACAGGAAGACCCAAAACAACCCAGGTAAGGTCAAAGTGCAACAGGCACACACAGCAAGAATAAGCTGGCCCCTGAGAAAGTTTCTCCTCTCATGCTCAGAGCTTTTAAGTGACTTTAGTTGAGGAAGACAGCAATCCTCGAATGATGCTATTGGCACCTGAAATATGTCTGCTCAGAGGACAGTAGATGTGGGGTCAAGGCCAGACACAGGCCAAAGGCACAGGCTGACAGCCAGGCATGTCTAGGTCCAGATAAGTTGTTTATTTCATTTAATGCATGGGGATATTGTTACACATCAAACTCAAAATACGTTACTTAACTTTTTCCTCTGTTAGTAAATAAACAAGTGGTATAATGAACACAAAAGAAGAATGCCCACAGTGAATAGCTGTTTTTCTTTGAGATAAAGGAGAAGGGAGGTGATTTCAGAAAATGCTCACTTTGCAAGTCAGATATTTCTTAATATGTCATTTTTTAACAGTGAAGTTACATACTTCTGTAACCAGAAAAACAAACAAATGAAGCTGCTAATGAGGCCAGGAGTTTATGTTACAGTATTGATTCAATTAGAAGAGGCTGTCCCAGCAAACACCATTTGTGCAGGGCAGCTGCTGGCCCAGACCATGCCTTCCTCACTTCCCTCTCTGCCCCATCCCCTTGTCTTCATATACTTCAGAGAAGAGCGCTGAATTAGTGATTGCTCCACAGTAATGAAGTCCAAGTTCACCTGTAACTGATCTTGCCTTATATCTCTTTCTCAGTTCAAATCAAGGCTAAACCATTAATCATCCTACCAGAAAAAATTGCATACACTGAGCCTTTGAATTTTATCACATACTGCTCAAGAATATATTGAACCCCCAAAATTTGACAGCGATTTCATTACAATTTAAAAATATCATTTATAGGAGATTTTCAAGACAGCGGTGTGAGTAGGGTGGTGGAAACCTCCTCCCAATACCATATATATTTTGAAAATACAACAAATACAACTATTCCTAAAAGAGTGACCAGAAGATACAGTACACAAGCCAGGCTACATCTACATCTGCCAGAACTCAACATCTAATGAAAATGGTAAGATACAAAGCCATGACCCAGCAGGATGCAAGCACTCCCCTCACCCCAGTTCACCAGTGGGAGGAAAAGAATCAGAGTGGGGAGGGAGTGGAAGCACAGGACTGCTGAGTAACCAGCCCTAGTAATCTGCACCGGGAGCACAGACACACATTGCATGGTGTACTGGATATTAGAGGAATGGAAAAGCAAAATCCAAGACTAAGACTGTGAACAGGTTCCCACAGCTAGCTGCCCTGGGACA